ACCCAGGATTCCTGGCTGGTGGCTTGGGGGCTTTGCAGTCCTGGGTTAAACACTGCCTAGCAACAGCTCTTCAGGGGTTTTCCCCACTCTGACCCAGAGATGTTGGGGTCTGAACCTGAAAGCCTTTGACTGCAACACTCCTGTGCTCTACCACTCAGCCATAGCTCTGCCCTTAAAGATTCTAGTCCTCATGGTTATTATTACATTACATTTATACCCCACTTTTTTCTTTTGTGAGGAACTCAAGGTGGCTCACACAAATCTAGTGATGGCCACAAATCTAAAAGGCTTTAAAAAGGGATTGGACAGTCTGTACTCCTATGAACCCGCCTGTGGCTATAGAATTACTGGCTGTGTGCTTCTTCCTTTACCAGCGATTGATGAGGAGCTTGAGCAGGCAAAGGTCTTGCACCCATCCTGCTTGAGTGATCTTGCAAGCAACTGGCTGCCACCGTGTGTATAGCATGCTGGACTAGATGGGCCTTTGGTGTGATCCAGCTTGGCCTTTCTATGTTTCTACAGTGTTGTCCTCCATTCCAGTTTATCCTCACAACAACCCTGTGAGGTAGGTTAGTTGAGAGGCTGTGACTGCCCCAAATTATCTAGTGAGCCGGAATGCATACATCTATGTAAAAAACCATGGGCACCCCATTTAAAAACAAAAACATCCTTTTAAAAGGAACCGGAGTTTTGATAGTGGTCTCACTATTTTCCACTTTATCAAATGCCTGCAGGATGTTGCAATGAAGAGGTGCATTTTGATGGTGGACACATCCCAGGACATTGCTATTTGCTATTTCTGATGGAGGTAAGTGTGCCCTTGTACACTTGCACAAGTCCAACTATTTTTTTTTAAGCACCAAGCATCTGCACAAATTTCTTGCACTGAAAGGAGGGAGGAAAGGGGTGCTTGCACATTGGAATGGTCTGTCACTATTTGCCAACTAGGAGATAGCAAAAGTCTCACGTGGGGAAGCTGCAGTGAATGCAAAAGCGCTTGCTGCCAGCACCCTGGGATGGCCCGGCAAACGCAGCAAAAGCTTGCTGAATGGCTTCCTACTTGCTTCCCACAACCCGTGATGAGTGCTAGTGCCTTGGCTTGCTTGGTGCAACAACCCATCGTGGTTCTGACTACCCGTAGAACATACCATGGGCGGTTGGGGTAGTTTGTTGCTTGTGAACAAGCCACCCTGTGGAGGTGAGTTGGTTCACACACATGACCACCTGCTGTGCCTTGTCAGCCGTGATGGGTTCTCATGTCTTGCAAACCCAGCAAATCTCCGCACCTCTTCCCCTGAAATGCAGCCCTTCCGCTTCAGTAGAATTTGGAGCACAATCAAAGGAACATGGAGATACACTGAGCATTTCTCCTGCTCAGGATCTGCAGCAAAGGGTGTATTGGAAGGAAGAACCTTTTGTCATCCTGTCTTTGCCACTGACTTACTCCTTGGCCTTTACCAGGAAAGTAGAGGCCCCTTTTGCTCAACTGTCAAACAGATAAAGATTTTTATGACTAGGAGGGCCTGTTGGATTGTTTGGAGGCGGATGGAGAAAAGTGCAAGTGAAAAGAGGGCCATTATCTGCAGTGAATGGAATTCTGTCTTGCAAGTGCTTTAGGGTCTCTTTCATATGGTTAGGGCTGGTTTGAAACTGAAACTAGCTCAACTGAATTAAGTGGCTGTTTTGTTGCTTTTATCTATGCTGTCCAGCTGGGTTGTAACAAGAGTTCAAGACATCCACTCTGCTCCCCACCTTCTTAAAAAAAAACCTCTTTTGAGCAAGTATGTTTTCACAGAATCCTGTTTGTGAAAGTTCTCCCCAGATCATTTCCTACTTTCAGAATTGGCAACAAAGGTTACAGGTTCATCAATGTCAGTATCGTCTTGCAAATATAAAAGACCAAGAAGATATATTACAGAGAACAAAGAGGCAGAGAGAGACCAGACAAAAAATATTAAATGTCTAATAGCACCATATTATTATTAATAATTACATGTCTATACCACCTATAGCCAAAGGTCTCTGGGTGGTTCACAATATTTAAGTCACTCATCCAGATTTCAAGCAAGCCTGACTCTTCAGAGCTTCCAAGATGAAGCAGGAGCAGGGCATACAGAAGCATCTTATGCATGCTTGAGCAGAAGTAACAGGGCTCACTTCCAGCCAGGTTTGCAGCTGAAGACTGCGTAATTGTTATATGCTGTTCAGTAATCTCAACACCATTCAAAATGACCTGTCCTTGAGAGCCCTGCTCAGCTCTTCTAAGTTCATGGCCGTGGCTTCCTTGAATGGAGTCAGTCTACTGTATATTCGGTCCTCCTGTTCTTCTGCTTTCTCCTTTTCTCAGCATGATTGTCTTCTCCAGGGTGTCTTGACTTCTCATGACATGCCCCAATTAAGACAGCCTCAATCTGGTCATTTTTGCTTCTAGGGGAAGCTCTAGCTTGATTGGATCTAAGAACTACATCGTTGGCTTTCTGTCAGTGCAAAGCTCTCCTCTCATGCCAAATCTGAAATGCATTCATTTACTTCTGGTCAGCTTTCTTTACTGTCCGGCTTTCACAGCCAGACATGGTGATTGGGAACCCAACGGTGTGGATGACCTTGTTGGTCTGTGTCCTGGTATGCGTATGCCAAAATACACTACAGGGGAAGTTTTCTTTTAACGGATTTACTTTCGAGAGTAACCGACTACCAAGGAATCATTCCAGATGGCACACCTGAGCAGTCCCCAGTTGGCCCTTTTATACATTCATTATTAGAGGGTTACACGTAGTACAGGTAACACTTTCCAATAGGTTACAGAAGTTAAAAGTTGCAATGGCGTGATCTTTTCCACTTGCATAGCAGAGAAGATGCTTCAAAGGAGTGGGGAGGAGGGGGCACTGTTACAAAGAAGAGGAGGAGGATGGGGTGGGCTGGTGTGAATTGCCCTTTGTTTGAGCTGCTGATATCTGTCAAGTGCCAACTAGCTTTCTCTAGAATGGTGCCTGGTTGGTGTCAGCTACATTTCAAGGATGCTCACATGCTGATTTCTAGAAAAAGTGTTTTTCTCAGGCCTGGTTATGTGCCAATGAAGGCATGACTTAACCAATGACAGTTGTGTGTATTGATCTGTGCATCGAGGTTGGCCTGAGTCTCTGGTGAAACACCCTTCACTGCTGCCCTTCCAAGTCTTAAGGCTTCTAATTTCTTGACTGTAACCGCCATTGGACTGGATGGTGCGGTTTCTAGTTGACGTTAGAGGCAAAGCTTGTTTCCTTAACATTCAGCTGCGGTCTTGCTTTTGCACTCGTCCGCTTTGCCATTCATCCCTAGTTATCAGGAATACAATAGCGAGGATAATCTTGTCTCCAGTGAAATGTCCATATACTTGATCCCCCTTTTTTGGTTCCTTAAATCCATCTGGTTGATGAGGCTTATTTCTGAGGGGAACCCAGATGGGGTTCAGTGTGTCAGCTACCTGTTTGAAGGAATGGACGCAGATAAAATAAACCAGTGGCAGGGGAACTGATGTGACCACATTGCATTGGAAGGGACCGGATACCCAGGTATGAAATAGTAAGTTTATTTTGAACTAGTCTCCATTGCGATTGTTTTCCACATGGCGATTTATTCGTCTCCCTCAGAAATGCCTCGAAGTCTCGCGCCCGCCTCGAGCGCCGCCGAGGCCACGCCCACTTCCAACCGACGGCGGGCGCGCGAGCAGCCCTGCCGTTGACCCCCAAACCCGCTTTCCCACCCAGGCTGCCATGTCCTCGCTTCACCCCGCCTTCCTTCACGGCCATTGGCTGCCTTGGATGCTCATCAGAACGTAGGCCCACCCCTCAATTAGCACGACGATCCCTGCGGAAGAATGGTTTCCTGAGGAAACCCTTTGGCTTCAGCAATTCCCTTCCTATTGGACGACGCGGCCATCTATCTTGACGTAGGGCCCCTAATTGTGCTGTTGTCCCGCCTCATTCAAGTAGCGTAAGCTAAAAAGTCTATAACGATTGGCTAGTTTTAATTCGAAAGGGAGCTACGAAGTGCACTTCGTTTTGTACAGGTGTTTCTTTTCTTGAGCCCGCTTGTGAGCGCTTGTTAGTCTCCCCGGCGAAATTACGCGCTCTGATTGGCTAGAAATCTTTAAATGGAGGCGGTTCCAACCAATCGATCACGCCCCGCCCTTTTCCGCGAACTAAATATCTAGGTAAAGGTTGCGTGAGGTGAGAGAGTCTCGCGGGGTCTCATTGGCAAAAAGGACGCGGCGGGCGGGGCCGGGTAAAAGAGCCGGATTGGCTAGCTGGTTCCCCACCTGCCCCTTTTGATCTTTTCCACAGAGTCAAAGAGGCCGAAGCCAAATCTCGCGTTGTGGGTGGAACCGAGCTCTGGGATTGGCCGGGACAGCTGGTTGAGTCACCGAAGGGACGGCTTCCATTGGTGGGAAGGCTAAGGAGGAGTCGCCGCGGCGGGTAGGCTGTGCGCGCGGCCGCGAAAGGGAAAGAGTTCGGGCGGGGGGGGGGGCGTGCGGGTGTGCTTGTGAGAGGGAGGAAGCGCGGACCGTGCGATGGCGCGCGCGCAGTCGGCGTGCGGGGAGGCGGGGGGGAGAGAAGAGTGAAGCCCAGGCAGGCCGGGAGCGCGCATGCGCGCCGCCGGCCGCTCTTTCGCTCTACGCTCCGCTCTGGGGCTCCCGTGAGAAAAAGGAGGCGGCGGCGGCGGCGGCCGGTCCGGCGGCCTGAGGGGACGGCGGCGGCGGACGCGGAGGCGGCCGGGGCTGCCGGTGGTGGAGGAGGAGTGGGGGGGCCACCTCCGTCTTCGGCGACGTGGAGCGGCGCTGTGGGGCCTGAGTGACCCCCCCACCCGACCTCTCCCCTTCTCCCTCCCGCCCCTCGGGAAGGGCCCGCTGAGGCGCCCCCGCCCCGCATCCCCTCCTCCTCCCCGTCCCGCCTGTGGCTTCGCCGCGGGGGGGCCTGCCTCTGGCGGCGGGGGCAGCGCGCCTTTGCCGCCGCCGCCGACTCCTCTCCCTGCCTCCCTCCCTCCCTACGACCCGAAGCTCGCCTCGCCTCGGCTCGCCTCGCCCCCCGCCAGCGCCGGGTCAGGCTGTCAGGCAAGGCAGGCAGGGGCGCCCACCTCAGAGCCACCCAGGGGCTAGTCGAGGCTCGGGGGCGGCTGACCGGCTGGACCCCTTCGCACCCCTGCCCGCGCCATCCTTCCCGCCGCCTCTGCCGCCTCCCCTCCTCGCCCCCCCCTCCATCGCATCTCTCATTCCTCCCCGTCCCTTTCTTGCTGTGCCCTGCCTCCTTTTTCTCTCATCCCTGCCACCTTGCACCGTCTCGTAGCCTTACCTCCCTTTCACCAGCATCCCCTCGCTCCCCTCGTCACCACGGTCTCTTCTGCTCATTCTCTTCCGTCTAGCCTTTTCCCTATTCTCGATTGTTCAGGGATCTCTTAAACATAAAACAAGAATCTTCTCTCTGCCGCTTGCTTCCTTTCGGCTCTTCAGCACTCGTTGCTGTTCCCCCCCTTTCTCCAGAAAGCCTGCCTTTGCTTCTGCATTCTGTCACTTTGCTACTGGGTGGTTCTTAATCTCAGCCCCTCGTAACCTATTGATTCAAGGACGGGATCCCTGTTTCCCCTGTATTTATTCTTGGTTTGGCTTCTCGATTTATTTATTTTCTATTTATACATGCATCTTTCATTCTTTTAAAGAAAAAAAATAGTTTTCCTTGCCTACGCTTACGCACTTCCTTCATCTTTCTTATGCTCTTTCCATATTTATACTTCCTTTTGCTTCCAAAAGTCCACCTTTTTTTGCTCACATTTATAATGTTTTGTCTTCTTTAAAACTTACTGGGTTTTGGCAACATTTTCCAACTTTTAGTGTTTTTACTTGTCTGTTTATGCATCATGTTTGTATTTCACTGCTCGCATCCTTAAAGAAAGCAAGCTCTTCTCTTTTGTCCTGCGTTGTGTTTGACTTTTCTTTCTCGTTCTTTGCTGCTTAACCCCATTTCTTTTTTTCTTACATTTAAATTTAATTTCTTACACATTTCCTTTTCCCTCTTCTCCATGCTTTCCCCCTTTCTTTCATCATCATTCTTCCTTAGCTGTCTTTTTTGTCTTACCTGATTGCTTCTTTCCCAGGTTCCTTTTTCTTACTGCATTCTTCTATTCACACTTCTGACTCTTATTCTTTCCCACTTAGCACTTTTCCATTCTCGGGTTTTTTCTTCCCCATGCTTAAGTTTTTATTTTGTCTTTTCCGAAAAAGTCTTGCAACTTCGTATTCCATGTCCTTGATAACTTTTATTGCTTGACTTCTCACTCCCTACACATCATTTTTCCAAAATCTCTTCTCCAAGCTTTGTTTTACTCTACCCTCCCTATTTATTTTGGTTATTGCTCATTCCACCCATCCATTCTTTCCTCACTTTTTTCTGTTTTGCATCTCACTTATTAATTTTTGGACACATTCATTTCCCACTTACTTAATGTTCCCTGATTTATTTATTCACTTTCTCTTCCAAAGCAAGTTGCTCATATCCATCCGATTTTAGTAGTAAAGGTGGATGGATATATACACAGACCAGAGTGGAGCGGAATAGTGTTAGAAGGCCTTGGAAGATCTTCTTACATATTTTGAAGAGATAGATGAAAAGGATGTGGGAATGGAAGGGGTGGACTTGTCAGTACTCCTAACATTTTCTAGGGGGGTAACCTCACATCCTTTTTCCGGTGGGGAGGGGGACTGACTTAAACTTTGAGACTGGCACTGACACGGCAACAGAAGGATGGCATTCTAGTACCAGCTACACCAGCCATCTTGGGGGGGGAGGGGAATTATTGCATGCTCACACATAGACACACACAGAAGCCTCCATTTCTTTTTTGACTTGATGAAGACGTAAAGGCCTGTTCAGCTCCATGTTTTTGAAGGTGGGCAACCTGCTTGTGAAAGTATAGCAGACTTCATTTTTGTGGCCAAATGACAGATTGAACCGATTGCTAGCCAGCGGGCGGGCATCATCTTGAATGTCTCTTTGTAGTGCCACAGCCAGTGCAAAAATGATGGCGGCTTACAATGGCGGTACATCTGCAGCAGCAGCAGGCCACCACCACCACCACCACCACCTCCCCCACCTCCCTCCTCCTCATCTCCACCACCACCACCACCCTCAGCACCACTTGCACCCAGGCTCTGCAGCTGCGGTACATCCCGTGCAGCAGCATGCTTCTTCGGCCGCGGCGGCTGCTGCTGCAGCAGCAGCAGCTGCGGCCATGTTGAACCCAGGGCAGCAGCAGCCGTATTTCCCATCACCGGCACCAGGTCAGGCCCCTGGACCAGCGGCAGCAGCCCCTGCTCAGGTACAAGCCGCAGCAGCGGCTGCCGTCAAAGCGCACCACCATCAGCACTCGCACCACCCACAACAACTGGATATTGAACCAGACAGGCCTATTGGATATGGAGCCTTTGGTGTGGTCTGGTGAGTATAAGGCGCATGCTGTGCTGGCGGGGCTCAGGTCGCACTGTGTTCTTCCATTTGGGCTGGAAGACCTTTCAACAGGTTCCTTTGCACATCTGCAGCAAGCAAGATGCATGGCGTTTTGCAGAGGGCTCTGTGTTTGGAATCTGGGGTGATCTGTGGACTGCAGTTAGCATGCGTTTTCAGTGGCACGGAATCAGCAATACCCTTAGCGTGGCAGGTATGAAAAAGCGGGGACTTCTTTTGAAGAATGCTTATACAGTAATGTCCCTGGTGCACTTGGAAACATGGCCCCTTCCCTGAGTAAATCTCAGTTTGAATTGATATGCTAGTGAATTTGGGTTTCTTGTTTGGCTCCTTGTTTTCTTTCTTTGGAGGCTGTGCACACACGTCTCCAAATGTGTTTGCCCGAGTTGATGGCTGAAAGCTTCATAAAGAATGAAAGCCAGTTATCCAACGGAAGTTGGCTTGCCCAAGTCTTCCTAAGTTGCTTCAACTTAACAGTGTAATCCTATGCATTTCTCCTCAGAAGTCTTACCGAATTCAGAGACTTATTCCTGAGTGTGTATAGGATTGCATCTTAAATTGGTCGGATTATGTCTGATGTCATTACCTTGAGACAAATGCAACATGCTGCAGTCTGTGTCGTCTCTTTAGAGGTCAGCAAACCTGGCTTTACATCACTATGTCATTTCCTTGACAATAGAATTTCACTCGTGTGTGTCATAATTGCAAATGAAAAAAGTTGAGGTGGGGCTGTCGTGGTTGTTTCGAGTTGGAAGTACTTTCTTTTGGTCTCTGGCCTTGACAGGGGAATAGAGTCTGCATTTCCCCTGCAGTAGTGAATAATGTATTTCTTAAAACACTAATCTCAGTACTTTGTGCCTCAAATTGGTTTTTCCGTGCTTCAGTTCGGCATGTTCTTGTCACAAAAGAGTGGCAGAACTCCATGAGCTGTGCGTAAGGATCCTGTGTTTTAAGGACTCCCTGGTTTACCTTATTTAAATATGACTAGATGCTTTAAAAGTGGTCGTCTGTGCTTTCCGTCCCTTGTTTTCTCCTCCGGTTTTAAAGCGGAATATTAACAACCCCCCTCTAGACTTCTATCAAACATGTTTGCAGTTTGACTTTTATAGCCTAAACACACATTAAATTGTTTTCCTGCATTGACACGTGAAGCCAAATGCGCAAGATCAGTGTGGCCCCTTGAACACAGGAGTCACAAAGTGGGTAAGCCTTTCAAGAAATTGATCCAACAGAAAGCTATCCCTTACTGCTTTGTATTCTCTGGTACTTCCAGGTTAACTAGTCTTGATTCAGCAAAATTTCTCTTTTGTCCTTTAAGGACTGCTTTGTTTGCTTCAGCTGTCACGCTGCAGTTTTCGCTGTGCTGAACTAAAACTATTGCATGTATTATATGCTATGATTCACTGGATTAATATGTGCTGTAATCGAGTGCTTTGGAGTAGAGTGCTTTTGACAGCTAAGGCACAGTTGGGCTTGGATTGGTAATTGACAGTATCATGCAAATGTGTTGCTTAAACAGGTTTCGGCATAAAAGCATGATTTAATCTTGGAAGAGCTAAGAGCCTAGTTGTACCCTTTATTTTGTAATTTGTGAATCCTTCCCAGGCAAAGATGATTAATTTTGTCAAATACAAACCAAGGACAGCCATACTGTTGTATGAGAATCCCCCATCCACCCCATTCCCAATTTCTTTACTAGAAAATACCAGAAAAGAGTGAGCAGGATTTCCAAAACACTTTAAACTAGATGATTCAAAAAGCAGGGGGTGGGGGGGAATTAAAGTGCAAAGAGTAGGCCCAATATTGTTCTCACGAAATCTCCATTCTTAGAATGGAGTTGGTAGACTGGATGAACTAGTTGCTGGTAGTTGTTGCCAGCATCAGGTTACATTTTATCAAGTTTATTTTCCATGTTTTGTACCACTTAGGCAATTAAAGTTAGAGTTTAAAGTTTGCACCTGCCTATCTTTTTCCTGTGCTGTAGTTTTACAGGGTATTTAATGCATGCTGTCAGTGAGAACCTTGTTATATGGCTTAGATTTTGGCTTTCTAGATCCATACTTCTAGTGGCATCTATTCGTTGTGAAAGACAACTGTATTATGTTAATGCTTTGGTCGTATGGAAATGGTAGGATGGCTACCAAGAGATGTGTTCAGAATGGTGGCAGCAGAAAGTAAAGTGATTTCCTGAAGTCACAACTGAGCGTTGTTTCTTATGAGATGGATAAATGGAGCATGTTTATTCAAGGACTGAATGTTTAATGTGACTTCATATTCCAGGCTAGTATGCTTAGGGATACAGTCATGGCTTAACATTCAACCAGCACTTGGAAAATATTTAAAACAGTGTGGATTCTTCAGCTCCATTTAAATTCCAAGTTTAACCTAGTAATACTTAGTTTCTCAATATTGCTTGTACTGGAAAATATTTTTTTTCCTAGGCCCGGTAGGTTACTAAGGTGGAAGACTGTGTGTGTCGGGCTTTATTACATCAGATGGGCGCACATTCTGAAATACAACAGTTCCACGCACAGAAAAGTAGCCTACTGAGAGCAAGGTGGGCTAGAACCCTTCCTCATAACTGAAATCACAGTAGCCCTTACCTGGAGTCGGAACTGCGAAAGGCCAGGCGCACATTTGTCACCTCAGTGAGAACTGAGCCGGGTAATCAGACTCGGTTCGGAGCAGCTGTTGTGGCTCTAATAAAGATGCAACTTTGAAGTAATACGTAGGGGATTGAAAGCTCATAAAACATATCTGAGTTACATTTTGCAATGTAGCAAATTTTTCTTAAAATAAATGTAGACAGAGCAAGTAAAATATTCATTTTCACCTGATTAAGCAAGTTTGCAAATTCACAAGTTACCTGTTATCTCAGCTGAACAGAGGAACACGCACTGGCAATGCCTCCTTTATGAAGGAGTGTGTGGGTCCTGGAAAGTAGAATAAGTATAGTTGAAATAAGGTATAAGTGAAGGTTAAATTAGGTTTGTCTGAGCTCTGGGTGTGCAGCTGCAGATGTGAACTGGAGAGTTCTGTGAATTTGGTGTGTGCAAGGAAGTATACAATTTTCTCATGTTTGGTGTTGGATGCCCCTTCCCCTGCCTCCCAGTGTGGCCCACCCGTATGGAATGTTTGCCTCTCTTAATAAAAAGAGTAGGGAAGGGTTGAGTAGATTGCAAAGCTTGCTTGATAAATTGACATTTAGACACGCAGTGAATGTTCTAGCCCAGATAAAAGGGTGTCACTCAATGCAGATGCCTATTCCCTTGAAGTCTGCTTTTTTATTATGCCAAATGCTTATTGTACTATTAAGGAGGCTCAGAACCCTCATTCTCTGATGCAGGCGATACCCCACTTTCTCCCCTTCTGCTTCCTCTTGCGAGAAGTAAAGAATTGAAAAAAAATTAAACCAGGGACTTGAGGACAGCTTTTCCCACCTCCTCTCATGCTTGGACAGAAAAAAAAAAAGTGAGATAATATTTATGATGAGGAACAGTGAGGACTTTATGACAATGCTGAATGCTTCTCTGGAGGTTTCCTGGCTAGGAAAGTTTTCTGAGAAGCCTTTTAAATTGTAGGCAAACAGCTGATGTTTGTAGGAACTTTAGATGTAGGCTGGCCTCTATATTTCCTGTTTGTTTATATTGTTCATAATCCGCTAAGCATTTTGTCTTGGTGGACTTTCACAGACAGTCTTCTATTGCTAGTCAATTGTTCACGCATTCCAGTAGTTCTTTTGCTCCTTCTGCTTTGCTTTTCAGGATAAATTGGCAATCATTGGCAAATATCCTTTTTTTGCCATGTGATTTTTGAGGTGGAGGTAGTAAATCAGTTGCATAGGCAGAAAGATATGCTAGCAGAATAATTGTAGTGGAATCACTTTCATAGAAACTAGCAGTATGCAATCAGGTATAGTATTCATCTTCCAGTCTCTGATTTATAGAAGCTTGGTGCAAAAAAAGAATTTTCTTAATTGGCTGGGAACAAAGCAAAAATGCATGATTCCCAAATGCACTAATTTACAGAAGGATCCTTAAGAATTCCTTAGAGGAGAAATAACTTTCATTATGCTCTCCTCTGGTTTGATGAAGAACTAGTGTTCTTAGGGAGTTTGCACTAGTGGTTGGAGATGAGCTGTCCTCTCTTGAATGTGAAACAGGTTATAAGCATTGGACAGCAGACCGTGAATTTATCCCAGGGCAGGCATCCTTGCCCCTTCTTCCACATGACAGACCCTCTAAGCCATGGGTCCTCAAACTACAGCCCGGGGGCTGGATCCGGCCTGCCATGGCCATTTGGACCCACCCCACACGTGCACCCGCCCACCTCGCCCTGTGAGCGGGGAGGCAGCGGTTTGCTCACTTGGAGAAAACGATGTCCAAGTGAACAAGCCGCTGCATTGTGCACTCGCCTCCCCTCGCCTCCCTGCACCGCCCATGCACCCACTAACATGCACTTTGTTGGAAGATATCTCCAGACTTCAGACTTGGATGCTCTACGGAGGAAAATAAAAAACACCGGGGCCCAGATAGTCTTCTCCTCAGTCCTTCCAGTATGTGGAAGAGGAACTGTTAGAAAAAGAAAAATCCTTCAAGTGAATGACTGGCTACGATGGTGGTGCCGTAAAGAGAGATTTGGATTCTGAGACCACAAGCTAAGCTCCCTGGAAAATGGAGTACTGGCAAATGATGGGGTGCACCTCACAAAGAACGGGAAGCAGGTGTTTGGCCACCGCATGAAAAATTTCATCAGAAGAGCTTTAAACTAAAACCTACAGGGGAGGGAGATGTGCAGCATGGCATACCATCCAGGGCAATCTTGATAAAGTTGAACACCGGGCGGAAAGCAACAGAATGAGATTCAATAAGGACAAGTGCCTAGTCCTCCACCTAGGAAAAGGAAACCAAAGGCATCGATACAAGATGGGAAATACATGGCTTAACAGAACTGAACAAGAAAAAAAATCTTGG